CCCACCAGAACCCCCTCTCCCTCAGTTTCTGCTCTACACTTTACTTGTACCTAGGTAGGCCTTGCCCTTTTTTTACCACAACACATCATCCAGCTATCACATGAAATGTGGGACTTATTTTCATAAGCTACTGTCATTGTGGTTAATGAATACTATACTAATATTAGGTTAATCTATTGATATGCCAACTGTGCCCTTGGTCAAATCATTAGTAATAGCCATTGTAAATTAATCTTGGCCCTAAAGAAAATGAACACCCTGTATCTCTAGGGATTCATTCACTACACAAAAATTGCATTCTGTATAATTAATATTCTTGGTAATTGTACAGAGTAAAGTAGATAGCCAACCATTTAAGTAAATGACAGTTGGTAAAGTACCTCTGAAAATGCTGATTAATGGTATATAGTTATGGTTAGATTTAATAGTAAACTTCACTTCGTCTACACCGACACGTTAATGTGAGCTTGACGCTATGTCAAGTGCTTGGGATGATATAAGTTGGGGACGTACCTATTGATTATTAGCCAAATTCTATGTCACACTCTGGATAAAGCCCCAGTCCACATTTACAACCAATTATGATGGTCATTTCCGGCTAATCATGTTCAAGGAAAAAAATACTGCTCTTTACAAATTTGAATGATGATAATATTTGACTAAAATCATTCAAATTAAAGTTAATTGTTGTTTGTGCATCCTCAATATTCAATCAATATGGTAATCATAACAAAACCAATGGAGTTGACTCCATTGGTTTTGTTATTATGATCATAAAATTTTATTCAAGGATATGTACTAAAGGTTTCATGAATTTCATAAATGATAATATACTACATATTATCAATTTTGTTTTTAGACTGGTTAAACACTACATATAAGCTGCAACATTTTACAGAATAAATAAGTGTTTAATTTGAACTTTACTTAATTTCAGGTATAAAAAGACGGAGGAAAGCAAAAAAATACTTTAAAATAAATGTTTAGCGTCAAATTCAGTTTTTACTTTCAAGGAATATACAGAGACTAAACATAATACATTGAGATCATTAAAACTGAAGATTGATTTCTGCTTAAATTAAAGCGTGTTTTTAAATTTTATATTTGTCTTAATGTGTAAGCAATATAAACAAAATGAATGATCTGTAAGTGTAACCAACCTCACAGAATGGGTTATCGATAAAACGTAAGGAGCATCTGTATGTTTAAATGGTTCTAGATGCGATTATTTCGTTATTAATGTGTCAATTATTAGCAATGATATATCTGAATAGGATGTTGGATTTTGTATTACAGTATGAACTCACCCACATAACACCGCTGGTCTAAGTAGATTAGGAAGAGTACAGACAGCTTTTATGTTGTAGCGTTACAGGATATCATACAAGGAAAGTTCATTCAGACATTAAAAAATAATGCAAGAAGCAGGCACAACAATTTTTCATAAATTATTAATAAAGACTTTATTAATAGAAAGTGACACATCAATACAACCAACTATAGATATTATTATTAAAGAACTATGGAACAGTCATGGATTATATTTTTTAGATGGCTCAAGCTTATTAGACTCATCCTATGTCCTATAATAACATGCTCTGCATTCTGATTTTGGCTGTTATGATTATTTTTATAAAAAGAAACTAGCTATATTTATTTTTCTACCAATGAAAAATTAAATATTGAATCTTGAAAAAATGAATAAATTTCAGATCATTGAGATCATGGACAGTGAGATCATGGATCGCAGTGTTAGAGACTGGGAAGTTGAGTGGTACAGTACAGTAAAAGAAAATGTACTTTAAAGCATATTAATTACAATGTATATGAGCACACTATGTATTCACTGTTCGTTTTTCAAGACAGCATTACCCAATTACTTGGATTAGCCTGAGGTTATTTTGTCTGCCGTAGTTGTGAGGACTGCATTTATCTTGGGATACGTCCATCAGTTTTTTATTCAATCAATATAGTCATTAATGATAGTGATACAGCAGATCGTGTATCATTGTTTCTATTTTCAAAGTTTACACAGCCTGAAGTCAGTGTTGGTTGCCAGACTGATGTTACATATTAATCATTAAAATTATTACAAACAATCAATTAAAACTTGATTAAACACAAATTCTTGACATTCTGTAGCTGAACGTATAGCACCCATTTTTTTGGAAACAATAATAAAGCGAATCGGGGCGCCTTCAATATTGCGTCGGGACAATGAAGTACAACGATTGCACTGAAAACACTGTAGCGACAGTGTAGCGATTGTATGGAAACCAATATAGTTGTCTTGCATATTTTAATTAAAATACATTGCTCCTGTCAGAAACACATCCATGAAAAAGAAAATACGATAAAAATATATAAAATAGAACATGTGAAAAGATTATTAAAACATTCTGCCTATTGCATTTTTATGACAAAAGTGTGGATATGCACAGTATGGCTATTTTTAGAAATAAAAATAAACATATTGAATAGAGAATATAGATGTAATATGATGACAAGATTATTAAGGTATTTTCCCTACTGCATTGATGTATTGGAAAAAATTATGGATATGTCGCGCATATTTTCAGAGATTAAAATTAACATATCAATTAAATAGAGAATATAAATGTAAGCTGATGATGGAATGGCAATAAACGCAATCATTTCAACGAATAAATTCTTTCTACGTAGGAAATAAATTTCAGAATTGAAACGGTGATCAGTCAATCTTGTATTGAGTTCAGTTGCACCCTGTAGCATGTGCTAAAACATTCTAGAATATCAGTTTGTTAATCAAGTTACTGCAAGTATTGTGAATATAGAGGTATTAACTTTGATGTGTACTACATTTACAGTGGGTAGCTCAGGTTTAGCAATATATAGTTAGGCTTGATAAAGCCATGGCATTGACTAAGTGTAGTCTGCTGATGATGATGCATTCTGAGCTAGTAATTGATAAACTGTGCGACATTGACTTCTGGTGAAGGTTGATTAATACCTGATTTACTTTTATCTAATTATATTTGCAGCAGCTGAAAACTTATTCTCTTTCTGTTAATTTAAAAACGATGTGAAAAGTTTAGGCCTATATTTATCTTGTTATAGTACAGTATAACTCTTTCATAAAATGATAAACTGACAAATTTTTGAATAGCAAGAATTAAGGCCTATAAAACCGGGCAGCCTCTGTACCCTATGGTTGTCGATGGACGCGATTCTATGAAGAACGTAATGCCAAGATGTGTGCGCAATGGACTGTTTGTAATGACAATCTGTACACACTGCCACTGACGTAGACAATCAGCAGAGGGCATCGCGTCATTTAGCAGTCACAGGGAGCGGTCGTACAAACGTCATGCAACCGTCGTATGACAGTGTATACCCAGCTTATAAGTTTATCTGCCTTTGCTCTGAAATTGCGACACTTGAAGACAACTTGTCGTAGAGAAAATTTAAGAACTCTAGGCCTATAGTAGTTCTCTGTCTCCTTATAAATTGAAAATGCGGCACTTGGAGACATCTTACAATATAAATTAATTCTTTCATCAGAACATGTCAGTTATCAGCTAAACTGAGACAAGTTGTGTTAAAAATGACATATTAATTCCTTGGTATTAGGCATGTAACACAGATTGTAGCAAGGTGAACATTATAGGCCTTTATGCAGCTGAGGTGTATGATTACTTTAGAATGCATTATTATCGGATTTTACAGTACAGTTTTGTTATATTATATATTCTTTATAGTATATTACTGGTTATGCTATTGTTGTTGTTAAATGCATGTACAAATGTATTTTTGTAAAATATTATTGACCTTCAAATATTTGTGAATTACTCATTTATTACTAAGTAAACACATTATTTGATTTAGATGGAAAAGGAAAAACTAAAAAAAAAATACTAAATGCAAGAAAATGGCTACAGCAGGGCAGCAATTGAGACTACTTTAGCAAATCTCAGGCTATTGTATCGAATGACATATTACCAAGTTTTAGTTCATACTGTCTCTTACATGTTTGTCAGATTGTCACACCCAAGGTAGATTTTTTCGACAGAAATTTACTAATTGGCTATGTTTGTGTGGTTGCATATAAAATGAATGTATGGTAAGGGAAAAAAACCGCTAACAAAGCAGCATGATGGTTGTTTGATGGCAATAATGAAAAGTGCTCTACAAAAGAACAAACCTACCAGTCAAATATAGTTAGCCGGTGTCTACTAGTCTGAGAAAAAGAAAATAAATGGCTAATAAAATTAATATAAAGTCGAAGAAAGAAAGGATAATGGAGATGAATAAATTTTGTGATTAAATTTGCAAATATAATTTACATCTTAACTGGTTTTGAATTGTAGATTTTGTATCAACTGATTGAAATTGTGATTTATGTTTCAATCTTGGAAGTTTAAATTGTAGGCCTAAGTAACAAGTCACTCAGAGCAAATGTCACAGTGCCACTAACATTTCGGCTTTTTTGATTGATTTATTGATTTGATTGATTACATCGTTAATTGATGTTGTTTATGACTGGCATTAAACTTGTAAACTGGTTTAGGAAAACATGCATATTTTTCCTTAAATGTAATGTCTTATTAGCCTTTGTTCATACTTAAAACATATTTAACATCAACAATATGTCCTTTTAAATTTTATGCTTTTTAATTTCATGTTGTCTCTGTCTTTCATACCTTTAAACCATGGATTTGAGCCCTTTGATTTAAAAGTAAAAAGAGGAATTTAAAACCTACCGACACAAGCTATATCTAATGAAATGCGTACTTACTCAGAATGTTTCAATCTCTGTCAGAGATATTTATCCACTGACTCTGTCATTAGAACTTAATATTAAGAAATTTACATCCTTACAATATCAAAGCTAAATGACATTATTTGAAGACATAATATTGAATTCAATCAGTTTTGTCCATCCTTGTTTGTATAGTTCTCAAAAGGTTTTTGAATCATTTGTTAATTGATTAATATCATATTTCGATCTTTGCTTTTTGCAGTATCCTATACGCTGATATCGTTGGATTTACTGGGCTAGCTAGCGAGTGCTCACCGCCTGAACTTGTGAAAACACTCAACGAACTGTTTGGGCGCTTTGATAGATTAGCGGAGGTAAGTTGTTGAGAGTGCAAACAGTAATTACATTACAAATGCAAATATCCCTACACTTAACCAAGTATGCCTGTAAGTGCGAGCATTTAAGTATGTTATTGATTACGAACTTAAAGAGGTAGATTGTATGAAATGGAATCGGTTAAATTGCAACGATGTGAACAATGTTTTCTATTTAGTGTGACCCAGAAATCTTGTAAGTACTGTACATTTAAATCCTGTAATAATTCGTCATTGTATTGTTTTCACATCCAATAAACTGAAACTGTACGTGTAAATGATATGTTATGCAGACAAGTGTAACCAAATAAACGTAACATTAAAGTTTCATTAGCTTTAACAATTTGTCTACGGGTTCAAATAAAATTTTTTTCCTATTGAACTTACATGTAGCAAGATACAGCAGTATGGTTACTGACATAAATTACTCTTGTAAAAATACACATGCTCAGCACCTATGATGTAACTATTTTCCATTTTTACCTTTTTCAAACCTCATAAAAAATGCCCTCCCTGGATTTGAGATGTTTTAGCATACCATCTAGTATAATTTCTAGCCTAATTCATATCTTTTCAGCAATTCCAGTTTAAACATTTTTAATGTTCTAAATAATTTTTGGTTGGTACAAGAAAGTTGATGTACTTTTACAGAAAGGATTTAGTTTTTATAAATCCAAAATTTAATTATAGGCAACAAAGCAAATATGGCAATGAGATATTTATAGGCATGTGACACTGAGTCTGGGTTTAGGGGGTGTGGGAAGAATTGTTTGTTCCTTCAGTGCTGAAGAACACTTGCACTATCACTCTGCATATTTAGAAAGTGTTTTTTTCTTAGATTATTGCTAATCCATTATTGTTTTGTATACATTAATGGTGTTCCTAATTAGTGCTGGTTTTAGTTGACTACATTTTAATGGGGGGAAAATTATTGATAAATATATTAATTGCTCGATTAGACTATGCCATATTTTTGTGCTGTTATCAAATTATTAATTTAATGAATGGTTTCTTCTATTAATTCTTTGGCAGGAAAATAATTGTATGCGAATAAAGATTCTTGGTGATTGTTACTACTGTGTATCTGGTTTACCAATCTCAAGACCGAACCATGCCATTAACTGTGTTGAGATGGGGTTGGCTATGTGTGATGCCATCCTGTAAGTACAGCAATATTATAGCTAGGCTCCAGACGGAAATAAAGTTATCCTCCTTTTCCCCAGTTTTTAAGTATCCAAGAATCTGTGTCTCTTTAACCATTTTTTGTTGGGAAGCAAACTTTCTGTGTCTTAGGCGAGACTTTTTTATACCTTGTTTAGAGGACCCACCGGCTGCCAATAGTGATGTTGATCTTTCCTCTCTTTTGATAGGAAAGTAATAATATTGGATTTGCCAGTACTGATACCAACCCAATGATATAGTTACTGTTCAGTCTAGTTCGTTATGAAAGTGTATGCTTTTTTGATGCATAAAGACTTGTTCATGAATATTCATAAGAATCTGATATTTTGTAAGGCCATAAACTACATTTTTTCTTGAGTTACAGGTCAATAACCCATCTGGATTTTCATTTTTCAAATTGATTAGATAAGCTTGTGTATTATGTAACTTGATAATATACAGTATTATAGGTTGTAGTTGGCAGGGCATCCAGAATGTATGCCACAGGTTGCTGGTTTATATACTGAGCTATATAGTATTTGATGAACTAGTGTATATGATAGTAACAATTTTGAACAACTAGTCTGAATTAATTTAGATCATGTCTGTTATTAATCAGTCTGATTAATAATATTATTTAAAAATATAAATATACAGTAAGAAAGCAGGACAGGTTCAGTATCATGAATGTTTGTCAAAAGACAAAAACATTCAAGAGACCATGGCCAACAAAATCTATTGGTCTATGCAAATATGGAACTGTATGCTAAATGTGAATGGTAAAAGTCTGGGCAACAGCTAGCTATGTATGTGCCCCGAGTGTAGCTGCCAAAATCTCGATGAGAGTAGGCTGGGGCAGACATGCGCCACGTGTTGACAGGCTACAGCTTGAGCAGACCAACATGCTGTATGGCCAACTGATGTACATTTCATTACTACATGTGATAGCGCATAAGAAAATGCTGCCAAAAGGTCGATGAGAGTAGGCTAGGGCAGAAATGAGCCACATGTTGACAGGCTACAGCTTGAGCTTAGCAACATGCTGGGTGGCAAACAGATGTACATTTCATTATTACATAGATAGAGCATAAAAAAATGCAATATGAACATTTACAAATATCATTCCTGTGAAAATATGCACCCAGGTGATGAGAGATGCTGAGCTCCATGGCTCAAACCAAAAGAATTCCAATAATTGACATCAGTCAGCTTAAAGTAGCAGACATACCTGCAAGTGAAGGTATGCTTCCAGCCATAGATATTTCTATTGTACCCATCAAGGTCCTCAAAACATCCTACACCTTTGCGATAATTTTTTTGACATGTAACATTAATGTCGTGTGATATGCATCTACATCCCAGGGGATGGAATTTCACAGCTGGGTCTAAAGAGGTTTTGTATTGCCTGTAGCGCAGTCGTCAATGTCACAGCTCAAGCACGAGTTCAAGACCCTAGGATTGTTAAGTACTGTAAGGGATGAAAAATTGTCAGCTCAGGCCTCATGGTTGAAGCTATTCATTTTCTATTTTACCTGCAGGATAAACCATCTTCCCCTCCTTGACTTGCATCCCCATACAGGTATATCTGCTCAGGAATTATACAAAGGAAGCATCCCTAAATCTAAAGTGCTATTCACATTATCAAATTTTCTTTGACAAAAAATACTGTTGTATGCCCATATGTAGATAGATAGAAATCTTTCTTTATTCTGGATACTCAGTCAGTATTAGTACACTGTTCTTCCCTGAGGTCCAGGGTATGATCTTAAACTACAGTACTTTAAATTAAAAACAGAATTGATAAAGAAATATAAAAGTTACATAAATATAAGAAGCAGAAAAAAGATTGGTAAATTAAATTAGATTTTTAAAGGATTGTAGGGAAATAGAATGAATATTACTGCGGATATCTGATGATAAATTGTTCCATAAATTAACGGATCGGTATTTAAATGTTCTTTTTCCAAAATCATTCTGCCATTTTGGTGAGATCAAAGTGTTTTTTGATTTGCTTCTTGTATTTATGTTATGATATTCATCGATTAATTCGTAAAAATGTGTTAAATTACTGTGTGCTTTAAAGACACAGATTTACTTGAAGTTGTAATACTTTTGTTGAATGTAATTTAACTGTAGCAGGCGTCTGTCTATAACGTAAGCCTCCCAGTCTAAGTGAAAAATTAGGCAAAAAATATCTTAATCTACGAATAACACCAATACGTTGTGAAATTTTGGTACAAACATTTTCAATATGCTTATTCCATGTAAAAAGAGAATCAAAGGTAATTCCTAAGTATTTAAAACTATCAACTCTATCAATAATGTTACCATTTATTGATAAAGAAATATTTGAAAATTTTGAGAGATTAGATTTTGAACTAAATATCATAAATTTGGTTTTGTTAGCATTAATAGTTAATTTATTTATATTAAACCATTTGGATATGTTGGCTACATTTTTGTCAATGATAGAATGTAGTCATGATGTGCCCATATATAGTCATGATGTGCCCATATGTAGGCATAATTTGCCCATATATGGTCATGATGTGCCCATATAATAGTCATGATGTGCCCATATATAGTCATTATGTGTCCATATATGGTCATGATGTGATGTCATCATGATAGTCTGGACAAGGCTTTAAAGCAATGTTTAGCTAAAAAAGATAAATTTAGAATTTATTAATTACATACATTGTACTATATGTTTATTAATATTATTATTGTGAAACGTTTTATTCAAAACAATGAATTCCTTGTCATGAGACAAAAACTAGTATGAAAAAGAAAGAGCTAAACAAACACTTCAAACAATTTATCTAATGACAGAGGAAGGAAGCATGCATGCTCACGGCACAGGTTGCTGTTCATGCGGATATTTTTATTTTTTTTTATGTAATGTTTATTTAAAAATTTGCATTGACGTGGTTGTTCAAATATTTTAGTACATTAATTTGTTTTTCTTAGTTTTCTACGCTATAACAAGGTCTAATATACTAAATAGTGTTAGGGCTGTTTCCTGGTAATTCTGGTACTGACCAATCAGCATCTTTGCAGAAATGGATCCCCATGTCCTTTTCAAGTAAAGTTTACATAATGCTTTTTGTTTATGTTGTATGCTCATCTTTATGCAGGAATGTTCGAAAGGCTACAGGTGTGGATGTAAACATGAGAGTTGGGGTGCACACAGGCAATGTACTATGTGGCGTTCTTGGGCTCAGGAAGTGGCAGTACGATGTCTGGTCACATGATGTGAGTTTGGCCAATCACATGGAGAGTGGTGGATTACCGGGGTAATCAATTTTTTATTAAAATCTTAACATTAAAATTTGCAATAAATAAATATGACTGATCAAAACGTGACTACTTAGTTTAGTTGTTTAGATGCTAACGTTCCAATTCCTATATCCATGAATGAAGTTCTTTATCTATCGGTTGTTTTCTAATGATTGTATTAAATTATGTCCATCCATTATCCTCCTAGTTAGACCATGAAGCAATAATTTCCATAATATAACTTTAGTTTATTATATGTAGGCTTAATTACTTCACGGTTTCTTGGATGAATAAATTCTTCCATTATGTTTTATAGTCCCATTCTGTAATTGGAGAGTCACTGTATGAAGGTAATCATTACAACTGCTGCCTATCCCCTGGGGAACAGCCCTCTTACTGCCACTGCAGAATGATTTCCAGCGGCGCAGTCCAAATTCCCTAGTTAAGATTACCTAATTAATCAACTAGTACCAAATGAACAACTTAGGTAATTCATTTTACTTTAACACAATTAGAGTTATTGGATCTGTTATTAAGGTCATTCCAGTTCTATCCCATGTTCCTCATTTAGGAAAGTGCACATAACCATGGCAACGCTTGAACACCTCAATGGAAAATTTGAAGTGGAAGAAGGCAACGGCCAAGCAAGGAGTCAGTATCTCAAGCAGAATGATGTTCAGACGTTCTTCATCATTCCACCTAAAGTGAGTTCATTGACCTTTCATTTGATATAAACTACTGTACTTTATACAAAAGGATTTATGTACTTGGAATTATTATTTTTTTATTTTATTATTTCTTTTGAATTGCTGTGGAAATTAGTGTTGTTGATTTTGTTAATTTTAATGTTGATGTAAGAAAACACATGACTAATGATGGTTTTTCTGTTGTTAATATTTGGATTGCTGTTATCATTCCATAGTCTGATTGGGCTACTTTACCATAGTAATGTATTATCATAAGTATGCCTACAAACAATACATAATAGACATAAGTAGGAATTAATGACATTTCAAACTAAAGGTAAAGAAACAAATTTGAAATTAACTATTTGATAACTTCCCGAACATTCTCATTTCTGTAATTAATATTGTATATTAAGAAAATCCATAAACCTATTAACAATCTCATAATCAGTTGGCAGTTGTGATGTCATCAATGATGAAGCCAAAGGTCAGTAATTAAATTCGCGTTTCATGTTTCCTCGTTATCAAGATTCGTTTTAGCATCATTATACATAATGCATATCAGAAATCAATCACAGTATTTCTACATGAGTACTGGAGTATTACATCACATAATCAAAGGCGAGTTGAATGACAGAGTGGCTAGCGTAGCCATTATTCGGTGCTGGTTCGAAGGGGAAACTCCCTATGGTTTTGGTGGTGGAACAGGTCTTCTCGGGTAAGGACTAAAAACTGTAGGCCCAGTGCACACTGTGGCTCGTGTGCACTATAAAGAACCCAGGACATCATTCAAGACGAGTAGGGGGATACCCCGGTGTACTGGAACAGGCAGTCCCTGTGGCAGACAACGAGAGCTGCTGACACGAAGCGACCCTTAGGGGCGAAGAAAGTCAATGATCGAGTTACTAGTCCACATGGCAAGCGCCATGAGCATCTTGATGGATACCGGCACTAAGTAAAATCACACTATTATTACTTACTTTACTGCCCAGTTTAATGGCCATGGCTCCTCGTCAATGAGGGTTGGACACATTCATATCATGTCTTGGCTGTTAGCTGTTGATAGCATTTCTCCATTTAGAGTAGTCCTGAGCTAGAGCAGCATCAACTTTTTATAATGTCATTCCGGATGTTATAATACCACCTTTTCTTTGGTCGGCCCCTTGGCATTTTCCCTCCAATATTGCATCAAAGCAGCCACCTGATTAACTGTCAACATCACCTAGGTACCACCTATATACCCAGTGCTTGCAAATGCGGCTGAGGATTGAGCAATTATTATTATTATTATTATTATTATTATTATAATACAGGTTTCTTTCCACCCCCATTCCGTCTTTCTACAGCCTCTACACTAGTGTTTCTTATGATTGTGTGTCCTGATAACTTTTTGATTTCTATTTCTTCAAAACTGAATCTACTAGCTGAGCCAACATCTATTTAAATGAAAACAATATCCTGCACACGTAATCTTTTCTAATATTAGATCAGAATCAAATTAATATGTCTCCTTACAGTAATAGAGTGAATCTATGCATTTACCAAATCATGTTGTTTCATAAATAAATAAAATATTTGCTTCTTCTAGAATTTCCCCCATGTCTACTCGCATTGCTTTTCCTGCAAGCTGTTTTGACTTTAGTTACCATGAGCATCTGACTGGGATTTCTCATCTCTAATTGGATTCTTTTAAATGTATGTTCTCTCTATCAGCCAATTAGCTCAAACAAATATATTATGCATGTCTCATTTGTGATATAGGCCTCTTGTGTATTTGCTGGTTATTTTCCCACTTCCCACTCTTGTGTTTATCATTTTGAGCCAAGTAATTTTCCGTTTTGAAAATTATCTTCTTTTTTTTCCTCCAGGGATTGCAAAGTTTGTCATTATATGTTTCCTAACAAAATCCAACTTTCCAAGTTAAAGAATGTCAGTCAATTTAGACAACCCTCAAACAAGTTAGATGATTTAAAATAATTTTATTTTGACTTAATATATATTTTAATCTTTAAATGGCAATGAAAATATTATTTTCAAGTAAAAGCTTATAAAATTAAATTTATAACTTTATATTAAGCCTTTTGTAAAAGTGGTTTGGCAGTGGGAACAGTTTGGTCGGGGTTTTCGCATGTGTCCTTGAGCAAGACACTTTATCTGCATTACCTCTCTCCACCCAGGAGTATAAATGGATACGTGGTGGGGTTGCCTGCTCCTGCGCTGATTGCAACAGCAACACGCATGTGGACCCAATGACCGGGGTCAAATGTGCTTTGTATCTGCAAAGAAAGTCGATGTGTAAATATACTGAATATAATAAGTTGAATATAATAATTTATCTGTAAGTTGTTTTCCTTTCCTGCCACTTTTTTTCGTTAATGAACATGTTAAAGATGTTAGCTGTTGTTAGAAACCACAAACGTCTAGCTAGGCCTAAGCTAGCTGGTCGGTAATGATCTAGGTTTAGGCTAACTGCAAAGGGAAGGTGATTGACTTATAAAGCAATTTTTATAATACACGTAACCATACACCAAATGAGATTATTTCATTTTGGTTAAATTAAAGCTCGGACAGAACCTCTGGCAATTTTTCATTCATTATACTCTGACCTTCATGCAATAATTCTGTCTAGCATAGTTCAGTTCAGTTCAACTTTGTTTAGCACTGAGGCTAGATCAACACAGGGCTGTTCCACCTTGGGGCCCTGCACATGAATACAAAAAAAAAGACAGCAATGTGACAAAAGTTATAAATATACAGATGTTAAAATAAACAAATAATTTTATTAAGCATGTGCTTAAATGAAGTAAGTATGGAATACATGGTATATGGCTCGCATTTAAAAATAATTGTTTATTATTCAATATAAGCAGTTAATGTTTTGAATTTTACTATTCAAATATATTCACCCAATGCAGATAAAAATCTGTAAACTCTCATTTTTGTGGTTAAATTAAAATTCATGTTCTTACATTGTTTATATTAAGATACAGAAAATCTCACATTCCTACATTAGACAATCTACTGTACATTAACTTCATTTATTATGGTGATCTGAGCTCACCACCTTAGTTGTAATACCTGAAATAGCAGTAATTAAATTTAATCAATTGCAATTTATGTAGTTGAAATAATGAATTTTAAATAATATATTTTATGTAACCTAAATTTTAATTCAAATTATTTATGACTTATTAATATTGATTATATTTAACGAAAATTATATTCGTAATAGTAATAATTGAAATGCAGTGCTTTTAACTGAGTGATTTTAGTGGATTTTTTACAAGAGTTTTATACAGAGTGTATTTTTATAAATTGTGTAAATTTTGCATATCGATTTTGTAATTTCAACATTGTAAGCCTGTGGACTACTCATTATGCATGTAAACAAGGTAATTCAACAGAAGGACGCACATCTCCGCTCTCGAACAAAACGCGTGCGTACAGTCCTTTGGTCTTTACTGTGGCATCGACAATCCGATACTAGTTGCGAGTACAGCCGTCAATTATTAGTCTATGCGTGCCATTCGTTTTATGGTGTTATTTTTTATTTTATTAATTGGGGGTACTTCGCAATGTCTGTTACATCTGATTTTTTTTTACCGCGAGCTTGTTAAATGCTTCTATAAACTGCAATTTGATTTGTGAAAATTGACCAAGAAAATGAAAAGTTATAGCAATTTAAAATTNNTTTAAAATTTACGAATTTTATAAAATTTCATGTTCTTATGTAACATTAATCTGTCATTTTGACAATGTTGGCATAAGGTGCCGAAAACGAACATTTGAGTATATACAGAACATTTATTAATTTTTTCTACGAAGTAAGTCTCATGAACGACAATTCACCACAATTTTGGTAAAATTAATGTTGAAATGAAGAATATAATTTCAGTCTAATGTTAGTGCAAAATATCATTAGGCCTTTGTAATCACCGCCCGACGCGCGATTATCATGGCAACTAAAACGCGCGTGAGTAATTTGTCACGTACGCTGACGGTTTATGGTCTGGTTGCTATGGTTTTGTGACATTCAGTGTGTAGGGACGCACATGCGTTTGGTAAACAGTTTTCGCTATCTACCAGGCAGCATCGTTTATTTCATACACAAATAGTTTGTATGGAAAAATACATTAAGGTAAAAATATAAAAATATTTACAGTAATTTCAAAAGCCATGAACTACGGAAACATGACTAAATTGAGTTTCTTTTATATCAAGAGCTGACTGTGTAATTAATTTTGAAGCTTTAACTCCCCTGGTGTTTCATAAAAAAGAATTGCCTTGCTTTGTTGCCACAATATGTATGTCAGAATTGTTGAGAGGATTTGTGTCCAGATGGAACTGCTCTGATTGACCTTTGAACTGTGGAGAAAACATGTCCATTTTTCAGAATGATTTTGAATATTTGATAAAAGGTGTAAATATCTGTAGAAGTGATTTTAAAAGGAAGTTCTTGTCATTTCAAGCTTTTATTTTGAAAGGTGACCAAAATAACTGTAAACACTTAAATCAGAAAATTTAACAGAGAGGTGATAGGCAAAGTAATAAATCAAAAACTAAACAATATTATGGAAAGATATGATTCAGTTTCTAGTCTTCACATTTTCATACTTGCAATCTTGGGTTGTTTGTTTATATATTTTCATTTTCTTTATACTTTTTTTTTCATTTTTTACTGCGTGTTGTAATGATGAATATTTCTATTGATTTTTACATTGGTGTTATGTTGACATTTAAATTTTTCATTGAGGCTAAAAGTTGTTTTCTAATAATACAGACTCACACAAGAGACAGGTTAGGTACGTTTGGGACTAGAAGTCAATTTTAAATAACACAAATCAACAAATAAATTCATTTCAGAAAAGGTTATCAGATTATGATTCAAGCTACACTATCCAGCGAGACAATAATAATTACCAATAGTTTACTAAAATAAATGCCAAATTGTTGGGCATACCCATTATATATATATGTTTTTTTTTAGGATCAGTTATATAGTACTTTATTAATCGATTTTTCAGAACTATTCATCATTTGTGATAACGCCTGTGTTTTCATTAATTCTGCACCCATTAACGTCAGATATATGTATAGGTATATACATTTATTGTCTTAATGATGATTAATTCTGTTTCCTAGTCCTCGGAGGAAGAAATGCTTCATGCCGAGAATGATGAGAAGGAAATGAACCGCACAAGAGCTTCCAAGAAGATGGCACGCTACCTTGAAACGTGGGGAGCCGATAAACCATTCGCAAACTTAGCATTTCTTCCAGTTACGCGATCTATAGGTTTGTCAGTAAGTATTTAATAATAAATTAATTTATCAGTCTACATAGTGGATTAATATGAGTTGGTACCACCTGGAAGCTGTTTCAATGTTGAATGTAATATTGATCTGTGTGAAATGCATGGAGGAACAAGGACTATTTTGCAGGGAACACCGGCTGGATGTTGATGAGATTCATTGGTTTGTTGTTGGATGTTGATGTTCTAATTCTAATGTAGGAAATTCTAATTGGAAATATATCAAAAATTTATTATATTTATTTATGATATTTTATTAGTGTTGATAATATTGCAAACCATGAATTTACAGATTCCATTAGAAATACTTTCAAAGACAATATTTATACATTTGAAAGTTATTTTTAGAATATTTAGTGCATAGAAAATATTTACTGGAATGATGAATTGTCGAAAATGTTTAGAACATAGACACATTATCGAGTCTAGGAATAGGCAGTGTCACAACTAGAACAGATTTTTATGAACGAAATGATCATTTACAGATCAGTATGGTGCCTCAACAATAAACAATAAAGTACACAAAAATTAACAATACAAGCGTGATCTTTGTGCCAATTAATCTGGTGGAGACGTGTTTCTCCCGATCAAAATTACTCAAATGATACGAGATGTTATCGGCAGTGTAATTAATGCACTATCATGTTCCTGTTAACAACAGTTGTCAGTCTTACACAGTATTTGACTGTACACCCTTATGAATTGCTTTTTAATGTGCTCTTGATATAGTGCCCTCTATTGTTTAGAAACTCTTTATTACTTGAATCGTGAAGCTCTACTATTGAATTTATAAATTTAAGAATGACTTTATTACGTATATTTCCCCTTTGATTTTCATCAGATAAAAATTCATCTTTTTGGTTTGTTCTTGTCCTTAGATTTTGTAATAATGTTTTTATTCCTTTATTCTAGTTCTCTATACTCAAATATTAATCCCAGGAGATGTTGGTTGGCCATGAAGATGAATAACTTCTGTTCCCTAATGTGTTGCTAACATTCTTTTCACATTTAACAAGACAGCAGAGAGAGATTATTAGAAAGAAGTGAATGGTGAAGATGAGGATGATGATGATGAGGAGGAGGAGGCAGGCTGGGAGGAATAGGAATATGAAAAGTAGAATGATGATGATGAGGAGGAGGAGTATGATGAGGACAATGATGATGGCACTGTTAATTATGATACATTACAATAAATTAATTATTGATGCTAGTAAAAGAAGAATTATAGATTTATAATAAACAGCTAAACAACTAGTAAAGTGTGTATCGTATATGTAATATCAAGAAGAAAATCACAATTTATTTCAGATGAATGAATAAATATGTCTCAAAAATTGTCATATATTTCATACAAGTCAGAAAATTATGAAGATAACAAAATTGACATTGAACTAATGTAGCAGCACACTATACTGTAGTTTTGTTGAAAGTTTAGAAGACTGAGAGGTATTAAATTACGTATGCTTGCCATCACAATAAACTATTCTTATTTCCTCTGTGAATTTTAACGAGAAAACTGCATAACAGGAATAGTATGTACAAATTTGTTCACTGTGGAGCCTTCTTCATTTCATTCCTTAGGGAATTTATGCCATCAACAGCTGCCTCTTCCCATTATCTATAATGGAGCACAATACAAAGTAAGTGCTTAAACTTATTACTTATTTGCTTACTAATCAAAATTAAAAATACTCATATATTGTATATATG